GCTCCGATTTTAAAATTTTAAAGCATGGCTATAACATTCCATGAAAGGATCTTTTCAGGCAAGCCTGCACGATTATTTTCTCAATTAAATTGTTTTTCTTCTGATACCATTTTTATTGGTTAACATATCGGTGTAGTTACCTATATTGACTTACCTGTTCGTACCTGCTTGCCAGGTAGCCATGAACAGAAATAAGTAGACAAGCCTACCAAGGCATATTCTCCATGTTATATGTATCTGTTTAAACTAAATTTGTTCCGTTATGAAAAGAGGTTATGAATAAAAAATTATTAAAATTAATTTAATTATAATAATACTTCGAAAGGCAAGCTATCATAGGCGTGTTTATAAGTTAATAAAATTTCGTAAAAATAGGTCTCATGTGGTTATCAGTTGGGTGAGGTCAATCACCCACGGTCTCCTCTACTACGATATTCATGAGTGAATTTAACTGTGGGGTTTTTTGTTTCAGGATATTAAACATCTTGGAGAGAGGAGGCATTTCGTTTCATTTCCAGTATTATCGTAAGAAGAGTTACAGATTATTATATATGTAATCAATCGATGGTATATATGTATTCGATGTAAATTTATTATTGCATTATTAATTACTTAATCCATATTATTATATTAATTCGATTTGTAACGGGGTTCAAGACCTAAAACATATTAAAGAAAATCGAACATAAAACTATGTTCGACTTTCTTTAATATTAATCGCCAAATAATACACGTAGTGTTAAAATATGTTCTTTATAATTGAGAGCGATTATTTAATCGATTTTTAATAGTTTGCCAAGTATTTAACCATAGTAAGGTTATCAAGGATTTGCATGAGAAATTTTGTATGAAAAATTTATTTCAAGCATATTGGTATTGATTGATGTAAAGCTAGAAATATTAAAATTAATATTTATGATTAATATGTAGATTACTTTCTAGATTTTATTAAAAATTGCTGTTATTAACTATTTTAAATGGAGACGCTCCCGAATTGCAGACTGTGGTTTGTTCGAGAGCGAATGGAAAGTGTGTTGAGGACGATAACGAAAAGCTTTGTTTCGAAGTTCCCGATGGTTGCTGAGACGTGCGTTTAGTTGACGTCGGGTAGTTACCACACGCCCTCGGCAACCATCCGACCAGGCAACGTTCCCGTGCTGAATTCCTTGCTCATCTTGAGATCTTCTTTTTTCCATCGACGACTAAAGTTCGTTTTTATTCATTGTGGTGAGGTGACAGCGCTGCCACTAGATATGACATGACGTACTCGTATCAAATATTGTCGTAAGGGTTAAATGTACACGAATCAACTGCAATGACTCAATTGTAACATACACTGCCATTTTAATGTAGCTTTTTAAACGATTTTTTAAAATTATCCTTCTGAATTTTTACTGTATGGTATGAATGATGCCAGTGTCGAAGAGGTATTGAACCCCTTTTAAGATGTGGTTGTGGTTATGTTGTTATTTCTCAATTGTTTATGTGATGTTATATTAATGTTTAGATCTTACATAGTTTTGTGTATTTGAGTTGATACGGCAATGAATTTGAGTTTTCTTATTCTTTTCAATAAAGTATTTATCCTTTGTTTTCCTAGGTGTTACATTGAGAATTCATAAACCAATTACCGTTTTCGCATCAAATTTAGAAAATGAATTGAAACAATAGATCAATTTCAGTAACAAAGCACTTTAAGGGAAGAAACGCCTAGTAGTCAATATTTAACTTCAATATTTTACCATGTACTCGAGTTTATATTTTTAAATAATATAATTCTTGCCATGTACTGGCATTAGGCCGTTTTCTTTTTTTGGAATTTTTGTTGATGTAATGAACGGGTAAGCTCTTGAAGAGTATAGTGTAAGTCATAACTTTAAGGACCGATCGTTCTCGGTGTAAAATAACCGTTTTTTAATACAGTTTCATTCAGTTAAATATGATCTATTTTAAAAGAATTTTAGTAAGAAAATTATTTCCATACGCACACGATCAAATATACTATAATAAAAAAGCATGAAATGCAAATATTCCATAATTTTGCGCAAACCATATAACAGTTCGCTGGGCGACGGGCGAACATTGTACATGGACGTGTGATATTTAGTTTTTGCCAAAGCTTATTTTAATTGTTATAGAGCTTAAAGCAGAGCACAATGTTTCTTTATATATTTAAGTTATATTACGCTTTAATTTGATGTGTTGAGTGACTGTTGCATCTCGAAACAATATTGAGCATTCCATCCTTATCGATTGTGATTATTCGAATAATATAAACGTGACATAAATCGAAATTTTTGGTAACCGAAATTAATTGCAAATTAAATACTTTTTTAATTTACTGGGAATTTTATTTATAATTTTGATGAACATCACAAATTAAATTATCAATTAGTTTTTGATTACTCGTTCATAGATAACGGAATATTGTAATCACATCTGATTTTGGATGCTGTAAATTGTTTCCAAGTCTGAAAGTTAACACTATATAATATACGTTGAATGTTTACAAAAATATGGTAGAATTTGTGTAATGATAAAATAAAGTTGAGTTTTGGAAACCCTTGTTGCCAGTCAACTGGTAAATGTTTTAACATAAGAGTGCATCAAATTGTAAATCAGGGGAGAAAAGGTACATTTTATGTCAACTTTGGTATCATTTAAACACTACTTCGATCTCTAAACACTATCCTTTTCATCGCTCAATTCCTAGTCTTATTTTGTATTCCGGATTACTTCATTTTGTATATTTTATATTTTAAATAGTTTTTTTTTTAATGAATGGGATGTGTAACATATTATGTTCGTAGTGAACGTAATATGTACCTATATTTGATTGGATTTAAGTTTACAGCATTATATTTGCTATTAGCTACTGTAACGAATAACAAGATTTATATAATTATTAGATATTATTGTAATTTGTGATTTAATGCTTTCTAGGATTATATACATTATCAGTATTTTAAAATTATATATAATAAGTCGATTTATTATATACTTTCCTATTAAAGTACAGACTTATTTCGCCAGAGTATTACATTGTTTATTATTATTTTTTATCTCCATTTTGTATTGCTGTTCCTTTTTTAATAAGTAATTGTTAACTTTATGTTTTGTTTCATTTACATTCCTACCCTCAATATTAAATTTTTTTTTATACGAATCACATACATTGTTTATAAGAAAAATGATAACCATAACACAAAAATAGAAATAGTTTTAATATTCATTGTTTTAATCATTCTTACGAAAAAGTTTCATCTGTATAAATACTGCGTACTAAACGAACTTCTTTGGTTTAAAAAATTCTTATATTACATATCACATAATAATATTGCATTAGTAACGCCTTGCCTTTCTATAACCTAAACAAATTGTTAGCTACGAGGTTATCCGGGTGACGGTTAGTCCATACAGCCGTATTCCTCTGCTTTCTGCCTGGATAATGAAAGTAAAGCAAATATTTTAGCGATACAATTTATATTCTACTGTCATGTTCCCTTTGTCTTGATTTACCATAAATTAATTGAAGACATAAGTGGATGAAGGTGATAACTCGCATTATACTAATTTTGAGTAAATCAAGATTGAAGTTTCAGTTTTGTTTTTTTGAGATAAGTTGTTAGAAAATTAGTTTTTGATTTAAACTATAATGCAAAGTTGGGTAAACAAACTTAAAAAATTTGGGTATGTGAGCATTTAAACACTTTTAATACTTTTTGGTATATAATTTCGAAAAAAACTGAACATAACTCTTTCTTTCACTAACATTTTAAAACATTTTGGCATTTTAGCTATTTCAAATTAGGTGTTAAGTAACATTATGTACTTAAAGTATTACAAAAAGGCAAACATTATTTAAAGGTTCCTTAAAATACTATCAATAAAAACGTAAACTATTAAAACAGAGATCAGTCTTGACAATAAAATAAAACAGAGATCAAAATAATCCTATTTTTCAAATAAAATCGACTCATAGAAGTATCAATATTCCGGCTTTACGTACTTAAGTTGTTCTCGGAGATTTTCTTTTTTCTGTACGTACCAATTTTCCGTACGTACGCGGAATCTCCACAGAATTGCGTAACTGAGATCTTCGTTTCAAAATGTCCACCTTTTTGAAAGGTGTCATTTCATCGTATGTTTCTTTATATGGTAGGAACCATATTCATCTACGCGTATCCATTTAATACCATCCCTAAAATCTTACTTTGTCATTGTTTACATCTTTTTTTCTGTTAATCAAATTAAGTTTTTCCTGTAACTCACAAATTTTTCTGAAATGTGCGCTCATGTCAATAACTTTATTATTTCGAGAAGCTTTGCATATAATAATTCCTGTATTGTTCAGGAATATAAACTGTATCGTGTTTCTAAGGACTTTTTCTATCCTACCAAAATCACGATCCGAATCTAAATAAGAATGGCCAACTTCAGGGAACTTGTGGTCTATTACTTTAAAGTATCCTTTTAATATAAGGTATTGATACAGTGCAATCATGTTAAAGTTTTTGTTCTGTCCGGCACATGAATCCGACCAGATCAATAAATGATCTTTGTTTTGACAACTTGGATCTACCTCCAAAAATCTTAAAAGTGCGCTTCCAACTTCAACACTTCCGCGATCCGCTACATCTTCAGTCCATGTACAACAAACAGCCTTCTCTTTAGCTCCATCATTAACGTGAATACCCAGATTGTAAAACCATAATTGGCGTAAGTAGAACGCTTTTGAAGTTGTTAGTTTCGGTAACGGCATTGTTTGTTGTAAATCCATGGTAATGTACACAATATCTCGGTTCCGGTTTGGTTTTTGCCTATCAATTTGCATAGCTTCAACAGCTGCATGATAATTTAACTTATGTTCTTCAGTTGAGTCTCCAGCATCGCAAGTAGGACACGTGTCACTCCTTGGGTAACCAAAAGACAAATTAAATTCTGTGACAAAAATTTTATTGTACGAGCTTTTCGTATTGCGATATTTGTCAGTCAAGTCCTCATTTTGACACATTTCCAAATACAAACCATGCATGCATCTTGGTAACATTGAGCAGCGGTGACAGATAGAGTTTGTATATATTTTTATTTCTTGAGTAATGAGACTGTTCCGCTGGAAAGCTCGCAATATGTGCCTTAATGCATTGGACAACGTCATCGTCCATTTTGTGTGGACGACTTTGATGTCGTCCTCTCCGATCTGGTTTGGGAACTGAAAGTTCATTTTTAATATCCTTTATGAGATCAATTTTTTTGCGACCTATTTGGTATATTCTACACAATCCTAACTTGCATATTTCTTGAGTACTTGCTTGTTTTTTTACGTAATACTTGTAAGAAGCAGATTTATGCTTTCTAGCGTTACTGCATTGTCTTGCTACAGGTTTACTTACAATGCTGCTGAACAATAAGGCATTTTTACTATTAGAATCTAATGAATAATAGCTGTTTAAAATAGATTGCCTATCTTCCAGTGAGAACTTACTAGAGCATTTAAGTCTGTACTTCTCGTGGCATAAAATCCCTTCCTGGATGGTTTTCTTCGGAACTTTCACTCCTTTATAAGACATATATTCTTCTCCCTTTGCTCTAGCTACAGCTGCAGACTTTTTCTTCCATGACAGTTCATTTCGGGAGCGTTTCTTTGACTTATTTTCTTTGGGTGGGAATATCTTACGTTTTCTTGACTTATTATTTTCTTCCAAATCTTCACTTTCGTGTTGGTTCCTAGTAGGGATATGGTCCTCTTGCCTTGTTCTGTCGGATTGTTCTCTTATACTGCTAGAGCTAGAGCTTAAAGGGCTTTCCGGAACGAAAACATTATCACTACCCGAAGAAAAGTCTTTGTAATTTTGGCCAGAGGACACATTCTTTAAGATGGTGTACACTTTTTTATTATCAGTAGAATGTTTAGGTTCATCTAGGGAATCCTCAATAATATCTGAATCTGTATCATCTATAGGGAAAGGTGTGTTCATAGAACAAACTTCAAAAAGTGTGTTTTGGCCGCTGGTTGAAGGCTCGCCATTTTCATAACCGTAGATGCATTCATCTTGAAGATGTGACGCAGGCCATAGCTTTCCTGCAAGAGAGAATAAAAGCCTTAAGGAAGAAAGCGGTAAACAAACGAGAAATGCTAACACGAAAGATAGAAAATTTGTTTCAAATCATGAGAATCATATGACTTTCCTCTTTGCCCTTCAGCGTTTCTCCGATTATTCTAACACCAAAGTTTTTTCAACTAAAATTGCAAAATAAAATAAGTTTCTTGTGAAAGAAAATATTCCCAAAAACTCAAAAACTGATAACTATATTTTAACGGTTAGCGTCTTCACTTTATATAAACAGTAAAAATCAAACATTTTAGTGCAATAACTATTCGTAGATCATTATAACCATTCCTAGTTTAGCAAGAAAGTCTAAATTATAATAGTAAAGAAGTAAAATATTATTAAACACAATGATTTCTTATATTTACGCGAACATTGCACATGATTAAAAACTACTTTTACGGATTTTATCGCGTTAAAACGCGATAAAATCCGTAAAAAGTATAATCATATTATTAAACACTTTGAACAGTTTTGAGGTTATTATTGACTTTTATTATAATCGTTATAAACATCATTGTTCCGAGTTTTCTCTATTATAGGGTGACCGACAGCAGCTTCCAGTAATAATTTGCCCTTGCTTTGCCTCCTGCCATTGCTTTTTCACTTTGCCAACGTAAATTCACTATTATAAAATTAAATAATATTTTGTACACAACATACGCTACAATACGCACTCTGTTAGAAAGCCCGCGAGAATGTGACAATTTTATTGACAGAACGAAAAAACAAAACAATTGACTGACGTGAACGAATGAAGGTGTTATGTATGTCACATAACACCTTCATTCATGGAGAAGTGACGTCGTGTCATTCGACTATCGTTCGCTGAGTGGAAGGAAGTGTTATGTTCGCACATATCACTTTCTTCCACGACAAAAAGAACAAAACTTTTATTTTATTTATCAAGAAGGTGGTGATGTGGGCTCATACCTCTTTCATCCAGTACCATTTTCAAACTAAACTGAACATAACACCTTTATCAACTTTCTATTTTTAAAATGCGTCCAAAATCGATAGTTTTAGGGTCTAAAATCATTTTATATCGACATATCACCTTCATTTATGCAATAAAACACCAAAACCTGAAAATGCGACATATCACCTTCAACCACTTACGTCTTCAATTATTTTGAAAACTTTGCTAGGATTGTTATTTCGCAAACCAGCAAACGCATGTATTGAATATAAAGAAGAAAAACTGTTCTTCAAATAAGAATAGCACTGACCTGGTGTCGTATTGTGACGTCATAGCTGTCAATTCAAACCAGTTAGGTAGGGTGAGCTAAACAGATATTTTTGATATAATATGTATTTATTAAAGTATTAATCTGAATCTAGCATTTCAATTTCCCTCATCTCTGCATCACTGTCTGAGTAGTCAACATTGTCATCAATATCATCACTGCTGCTTTCCCTCATAAAAATAGAACATGGACTTATATAGGTATTTAAAATTTTCTGGTACACGACAGCAATAAATTTGTTAAAAATCTATTCGTCAAATCTTGCTACCTGGATATCCTCCTGATACAATAGAGTACAGAAAATGCTTTCGTGCTATATTATTTTTCAATAGTGCTATTATATCATCTCCCAAGTGTTTACTATAAATATAAGTTATTACATCATATTCATATAATGGTATAACGTCTATTTTTACTATGCTTCAATATGAAACATAACATTTAAAATCATTCATTCAACATTCGAACAAGAAAAGAGAACAGATGGCTATATAAATGGCTTCCAAGTAATGTTCACACTTGAATATTTTACATCGAGAAAATATTCAACGGATTTTATCTAATTATATTGGTATACTGCGTGCCATGCATGCCCATGATAATAATTTTTTATATTTATTAATAATTGTACCCAAAAATAGTAGTAGCCGTTTGAAGAACTTGCTTTTATCAAGAATATTTACTATAAAATTTCAGTTTAGACGAATTTTGTAAAGATAAGTTTTTGAGGTCACATTTTAAAAGGGATATTTTCAAATTATTCATGGATTGAACTTAAATTTTCAGTAATAGTTTATGATTATTATGTCAGAAACAAACGTTAAATTTTTAATAAATTACAATTAACACCAGGTAAATTATATAACTTCTTTCGCCAATAGAGTTCACTGTCTTTTTTGGTAATATAACAGAAATGAAGGACTTGGTAGAATTATTTTATAAGAAACCATAAACACGTAGGTGTAAAATAATTCTTCGGTAAAGTTTAAAAAAACTGTTTTTCAAATTTCTTAGGTACGTAATTGTTATTTTTTCAGTGTATTACATGTTTAAAAAATAAGAGGATACATATTACGATTTAAGAAGTAAGATTTTGTGATGTAAATTAAATAACAAATTTTAATAGTACAGTCACTGCCAGACTTAAAATATTCAAAAAAACTGTTAGCAATTTTGTCTTGGTTTATAGTAATTGTTATTTGCCGTTTGAACTAGACAAGGCTAGCCTTTTTCCATACTTTTTCAAATTTCTGTCTGTAATGTATTAAAAACAAAATGATTGGTGTAAGTATAACATAGGAGATAACATAGATTTAGTCATTTTGGATAAAAGTATCTGAAATTGTTACTGATAATGAGATTACGTCTAAGAAAATATAAATCAATATTTTATGATAATTAATTGTAAGCTGGTTTGGAAACAAAGGACGTTTGATTTTTTCAATAATACTTTAACTTTTACGTCAATAAAATGTTCTACCTTGATTAGAAATATTTAAAGCTTTTCTGAATACAAGAAAAATCTAAAATGTATTTACAACGTTCTTTTTAAAATCTTGGCTTTATTTTGTACGAATTTTATCATGATTAATTAAGGTTGTATCTAAGATGATTCGCTTGAACATTTTTAGATTTAGATACTTTCATATCCGTCATCTTGTGGTCAATTGTTAAGAGAAGTTTTACGTGCTCACTGAGTGGCACATATTACGCAAGTATCATACAATATGGCAACTGATCGACGGAACATTGGTCTCAATATTTTCTCGAAGTCACAAAATGTTATTTTAATAATAGATAACATTATTTTACTATTTTGGAAGGTCAATAAATTAAGAATATTAGTTGTAACATTCGACCTTAGAAGAGAAATTAATTGTAATGAATGTATCGAGTATCTATTGATGATTCTACACATTATGGGTGTACGACAATAAGATATACTTCTTATTCGCTAAAGTGGAATATGAAAAAAATATTTTGCCTATGTTACATTATTGACGAGATCAATTATCGCGGTATCTCTTTATTTTTACGTTTGGGTTTGTAATTTCCTTTGATTTGGAGACGATCATTAATTGTTATACTCGCGGTACCCTCACAGTAGTCTTGAAAAAATGGACGCATATTTTTGTACATAGATAAACGTATATGATTTGAAGATATCTATTTTCGAATAATTTCAGGCAATAAAGATAACCGAATTTGAAACAATAGCTGTTTGTAGGTGTATTTTTAACTAGAGCTTACGTGAACTATTCTCATCTAGATCGCATTTCTATGTTTTATTGATCAAAAACGTCGATTTTAAACGGTAGGCATCACATACACATACAAATACATATTATAATTTAAGAACTTTCATTAGTGTAAAAATAGTAATATCGCTATCGTATCCTAATTTAGTGCATATTGTAATCCCCTGCATCTTTGGTTTAGTAAGTACGTTTCTTATACCACAAATAATCGTATCTTATATTTTAACCATAATTATATCTTACGGCGTTGTATATAAAACTTAAGATTGGCCGGCGAAACTTAGTTTTGGCCTACGAATAGAATAATGTTCGTCGTATTGTTCATTTGAAATAAACTTTTTCATCTAAAATATAGGTATTTATATAAATTATACGCTACGAATAAATCAAATAAGCCTAAGTTTACACTTTCAGTTGTTGTTCAGTTGTTTATTTGGTTTACAGTTGTAAATTCTTTGGTTTTTATTTTTTATTTGTTTCGAAAATGTATACAATTGGTTGTGGTTAAGACTGTTTTAAAACAAAAATTAAAAATAAAATTTAGCCTACGCTGAAATCTAAAACAAATTTTAGCCGGCTAACCTTAAGTTTATTATTTACACTAAGTTATCTGTAATACATATAAAAACAACTCTATTAAAAAATAACGAAAAAGAATAGATTACGTAATTTAGCATTTGAATATACTAACAAAAATTTCAATTAATAATTATTGTCAGCATAAAGCTTTTACTAGAATCGTAAAAACAACTCGTCCGGTCCAAATGTACACATTTGAGAATTTATTGTTTTGGTGTATTGTAATTAATAAAAATAAGTCTTTAATTACAAATGTAGAATATCGTAGGATTTATGAAAGTCGTGGAATGGAATTGTACGAGAGACTGTTTAAACATTTTATGATTTCGCTGACACCGAGAAGTGAAAAAATAAATGTAGCATATTTTTTGTGTAAATCTAAAACTGTATATTGAGAAAATTAGAGTGCGCTTATATGTGTACAAAGTATTATCGTAAAGTTCTCTGTAGCGTTTATATATCGAAAGCTCTGCATCATTTTAAATCTGTGTTCAATAAATAACATCCAACAATAACTAATCGATTATCCTACATCGATTAATTTTTGGAATAACTGATAAGCTCGGTGTTGGTGTCAGTATCGTGTTGTTATCTCGTCTGACGGGAGCGGGTTGGCGAATGTAAATTATATTGTCATATTGGTTCAAGTCCAAACTTTCACCTTGTGTTAAAATGTAAGGTATCACAATAAAAGCCGATTTTTAAATCATTAGATAACAGTTATTCAAAGGATAAAATATAACATAAACTAATTTAAAATTACAGATGTATGAATATAATAGATCAGTTGTTTTACTTTTATATTAAGTCAGGTTATAATTTATTTCATGGATAACTTATACTGACGCTTGAACAATTGCCCTAATACAAATTCAGCTTTATTTCGAGTCGAAACGTATCTTTGAATATTAAGTTGACGAAATAAATTACTATTCGCTATCCTGTTTATAGATGTAAGTTGATTTCTTGGCTGTTGATGAAATTTGGATATAGTCATTAAGAACAGAAGGAGTTGGATTATACGTGAATTTTGAAATATTTGAATACGTTGGTTCGTTAGCAGGTGTATAAAGTTGTTTGAATGGGATATCTTGCATTGTATAAATCTGTCTTCACTGCTGCTCTAAAGGGTAAAGGCAATGAGGTTAAATTTAAATGTATCATAATTCAGTACAATATTTCTTCTTGCCAATATTGTAATCTGTCAACTTTATTTTTTAATAAACAATTTGTTGTCATTCAACTTTGTATTTATTTAAAGGGTTTATCAAGCGGGTGAAAAAGGTAAAAAATAGTCTTATTAAATAGTTATATCATTTATTTATTACTTACAATACTTTGGTTTCATCTTTCAGTGTAGGTAATAATTTATATTTAACAAAATTATTGCATTTACAATAAAATTTGATTATGCGCTTAAAACTAAAATTTACAAAGAATCAACATCATTTCTAACTTTGTTTTCAAACGTACATAAAACTTTACATGTCCATAACATGTTATTGCTTGTGCGGTACATTTTCTAAATTTTAATATCCTTTTCAATATTTTGTATAGAGCCATTTATAAAATACGTCACCCAAGCCTTTAGTTTTGCCTCATATGACACTGTCTGTTAGTCACAAAATACTGAATTCTACTACATCTATAAGCGACTTTTTTATTTTTGATTTTTGTTGCGATTAATAATAACATACAAATATTCACGCTTTAAAATATTTGTTACTTTTAAGTAAAGTTATATATTACTATTTGGTAAGCGTTACAGGCCTATCCTTATTTCGGAGAGACTTATTTATTAAGTAAATAGTTGCGCTGCTCCAGTTGTCTCCTTAATATATTATTCTTTTCATATCCTCATTATTTCCATATCCTCATCTTCTTTCCCTTCCAAATCAAAGGATGCCCATATCATACCTTTACCTAAAAAAGCAAATCCTTTCAAGTTTTTCTGAATATCGTCCTATTTCAATTCTTCCTTTCCTTTCCAAAGTTTTAGAACGCCTTGTCCAACAATAAAATAATTCCTTTTGTTTAAGAAAAGCATTCTTAGTCCTCTCCAATCTAGCTTTATCTAGCGATAGTATGACTACGGCGTTATTAAAAATCACCGACGACATTCGCTACGGTATGGAGAATCATCAAGTCACAGTATTGGTGTTGCTGGATTTCAGCAATGCCTTCAATACTGTTGCTCATGATATCCTGCTAGTGATTCTGCGTTCTCTTAACATATCTCCAAATGCAATTTCCTGGTTTCATAGTTATTTGTATGGGCGCCGGCAACGTATTCGTCTCCAAGATAGACTTTTTTCGTGGCTTGATACCGTAGTTGGCGTTCCACAAAGTGGTGTCTTATCTCCTCTTTTATTCGCAATCTTTATTAATACGATTACATTCCAATATCTTCTCTCTACCACTTGTATGCAGATGATCTTCAAATATATTTACAAAAAACCATCGAAGATTTTCCCAAAGCTGTTGAATCTATCAACAAAGGATCTGGCTTGTATTCTCGACTGGACACGGTCATAGGTTGACGGCGAACCCTTTAAAATCCCAAGCTATAATTATTGGGAGTTCAAGAATGATTTCCAAAATTAAAAAATGTCTACTTCAACCCGTTGTATTTAATGGTATCCATAAGGATGGTATAAACCATACAATGAATTAATGAGGTGGTTAAAAATTTAGGTATCTTTTTGGAGTTCCAGTCTTTTTGGACTCCCCAAATTAATGCAGTGAGCAGAAAATGTTTGCAGCATATGCTTCATTCCGTAGGCTTAACTACTTTTTACCCATTTCCACCAAAATTACGCTTGCACAAATGTTTACTACTCCCTATCCTCGACTATGCTGACATTTGTTACCTTGATATCACCGAGGAGCAACTTAACAAACTTGAGCGACTCTAAAATCTCTGCATACGGCTCATATTTGGGCTTCATAAATATGACCATGTCTCAGAATACCGCACTAAACTCAAGTGGCTCCCAATCCGTCTTCGTCGGAATACTCGTATACTTTCTGCGCTCTACTGTACTTATTTAATGTATCAAGTCCTCCCTATCTAAAAGAATGTTTTAAATTTTTTTTGTCACGACTTTTCCTTACAGTCCAATGAAAATCTTTCGCTCCAATGTCCTGTACACTTTTTGACATTTTATGATAAATCTTTTGCTGTTCTTGGAGTAAGACTCTGGAACTCCTTACCCCAGACAATTAAAAGTGCTCAATCATTAAATGTGTTCAAGAAACAGATTAAGGAACACTATTTGTCTCTTAAACTCCTCTCTCTTCCTCCTTTTAGTTATGGTCATTAATCTATCTATGTTGTCATTTTTAGTGCACCCTACCCGTTAATCTTATTTTTATTTTATTTATTTCCTCTTCTGGGTTGTCTGAAGAGATAGCTATGTAGCACCGCCTTTTTTTTTTCCTCATTGTTTGTCCGTTATTTGTTATATTTATGTTTCGTTGGTGTACAATAAAGAGGATTGTATTGTATTGTATTCTACAGACATACAGGTTTCCTCACGATATTATCCTTCACCACTGAATGCCTGGTGAATCAACAGTTAAAATTGAAGTTAACAATTCCATTGGTGCTGGCTGGGATCAAACCTCCTTTGCTCGAGTATCACACAATTTATTTAAACACATACTCTTCTGACAAAAAAGAGACAGACGTAGGTACACACTACCCAATTAACATAACTTATGTTCATAATCGGATTTTTCATCGTGTCTGGGAGAATGTTACACTCTTCGAATCGGACAGGCTGTTTGATATTGCTGAATAGCCGCCCGAAAATCAATATTACATAAAATTCAACTTTAATTTCTTAACATAGTTGTCCAAATTATTTTATCGAGCTTAAAAGCAACTGGCAATAGCAAATTTGTTCTAATACTGTCATGTAAAACACAAAATTAAAAAAAAACTTTAATATTTTAACGCAGTAGAACAACTTTTATGTATCTTTACTAACTGTTACCTGCTTTTGATAACTGACACTTAGCTTATACCCATTGTTCTTACAATGTTACACATCCAAACAAACTTAGCTTTAATAAAATAACATAGGTTTGATAGTCCCATAGAATACTACAATACACAATAGAATGGCTGTCAACCTTATTTTGTACGACGATAGGCGTTGCCGGGAGCACACATTCAAGCAATAACGTCGTACTATCACTACTACAAACCCGATTCGCTGTGTTGACAGACAGATTTTAATACATATTTATTTGTAAATAGCGTGCAATTTGGCATTTCCTAAATAATTTGCATAGGAAATTTGGAAACGATTGTAACGTCAAAACACATCTCATGTTTACATTTATACGTGTGAATTGACGTGTTAGTGACATTTTAGTGGCTACACGGGCTCCGCCCACTCCCCCGTTCTATTATGTATGTATTATAGTATTCTATAGATAGCCCTGAGACCACTAGTATCAGTGCCATATCCAACAACAGTAAGTACTTATCGTAACAAGTAATACTATTGTGATCACATAAATAAATATTTTGAAGAAAGGATGACACAGATTCGCAAAATAAAATGTAAAACCTATAAGACGTTACGTTTCCATAGATCCCCATGCTCTAGTCACGTATTATAGTCTAGCTAAGCAATACGTGTCTGCGAACGTATTTTATAGATGGCCCCCACGATATAACACTGAAGCATTGGATTTTTGGTAAAATAATTGATAATTACAACAACATTAAAGCGATCAAATTATCCAATCTCTACAAAAGGCCTTTTACTCGTGAAATTGAAAAAGGCCCTAGAGATGCTTTATGAAGTTTTCAAGCAACAAAAATGTGCCGCAACCTTAACATCATATACAAGTAGTGATTTCTTCAACATACGAGGATGGAAATATGCCGTAACACCCGTTGAGGTCTCCTGTCCACCACACATCGTCTTGTTTTTCGTGGATATTTATAATATCACCTGTTGGAAGTAAACAATATTATTTTCATAGAAAGGTCTACGAAGGAATGTTCGCAGTGTATCGTAAAATAATTTGCCGCTTGATAACTCTTATGGTCTGGTAAATGACATAATGGTCACCTCAAGTATATAGCAAACATAAAATTAGAAAAGAAAAACAGCCTTTAATAAGTTGGAGCAGGAAAACTAGAACTGCGAAATTAAAAATCTATTAATATTGCATATTTGACTACAATTCGATTACATGATGTAACGTAACTAAAGGCCAGCACGACTTAGCTTCCAATTGCTTTAAACACGCAAACAGCTACAAAGTCGATAAGTGTGGCACGGGCATGGGTATTCGCGTATGCAGCGAGACAATTTGAAAACACATAATTTGCAGTTTGCCGTTCAGTGTCAGCATTTCTGCACACATCGAAGTAAACAAAATTCAAAGTTGGGGCTACGCAGTAACTATTATCTAGTTTGGGTGTAGGGTTGCCAGATGGTCGTGATTCGTCTGGATTCTTTCGACAAAACTCAAACTCTCCAGACAAACAGCTTCTCTTCACATCACAGTTGCTAATTTAATAAAAGTTGTTAATTTAATAAAAGCTGAGTTAGTAATTAAACAACTTTGAACTAAATTGTCTGAATTCTAAAATATTTTCTGAATACTACAAAAGATCCAAATTGGTGGACTTAGTAAATTCCAATTCCAAATACATGTGACAATCTAAAAATTAAGTGTACTTCAATTAGTTATGTGTCAACAATATTAAGTATTTTATAGCCTATTAATTTAAGAAAACAAACTTTTTATTTTTATTTTTAATACTTATTACTACCGACAAACAACCCCAATATCCCGACATTTTCAAATTTTGTCCAGATATTTTGATTTTCCGATCTGGCATGCCTATTTGGGTGGGAAGCCTGCTACACTTATGCAAATTATTTTTTATTGCTAAACTATGCAAAATAGCTAAATATGTTCATCTATAATTATGTTATTCGCGATTTTATTTTACTTAAAATAAAACAGCAGTATGGTGGCGGCGTAACAAAATCTATCACACCGTTTCGTCTCGTATATGGAGTGTAAAAGTAAGGAATACCAACTCCCATACTAGAATAGTTGAAAAAGTGGTCATCTGTAAGCAGTAAATAACAGTTCAAAAACTCTCCACAACAGCGCTGGAGTAGCTACTGGGATGAAATGAACTTAGCAGTTGTAGACGGTTTAAGTTTGCTGCTAAACTGCTCAGTAGCTCTAAAATCTAAAATAATTTTATTTAGTAAATATAACCTCGAAAAAGTCGTCTATCCCACTAATATTTTTCGGTGCGTTCTTTAAAATTTACCCCGTAGCTATAGTGGCGCCACCCTTATTTAACGGTTTTCTATGGACACTTTTTAATACACAGTCTGTACTCCTTACTTCTACACTACATAGTCTCGTAGGTGACGTACAAGGCGACTATATGAAATGCCACAACAATCACATGGCTTCCAATAGATGGCGGTATAATATCTGATTTACGCTAGAAGTAAAATATCCAGACCAGCGTCATATACTATACTCTGGTACTATAATCGTCAATATTGCTGTCCCACTATATCCTGCTGACTACCGAAGAATCTCATGCCGATCGGTGGATCGGGTTGATACACTAAACTATAAATAAAACTGAGTTGTACAACAAAATTGTAGTCCATTCTGTAAGCCATTTTTACGATAAATGAGAGTCCATGCGTTTATTACAGACGATTATGATATCTTGTTAAATATATTATTGCGCTTTCTCAATATATCTCCGACTGTAATTGAGGCTTTCGTAGTTACTTGTTTGGGGGCCGGCAGCGTATTCAGGTAAAGAATGTTATTCCTCTTGGACCGCTACTGTTGCCGGCAAGCAATAAATATGAAAAGCTGATAAATTTCGTCAGTGGCGTAGCTACCTTGGGGCTAGGCGAGGCAGTGCCCCAGGGCCCCCAAGCTCAAAGGCCCCTCAGCCTCCATGATGACGACGTTAGAACAAACTATACATATTATCTTAATTGAATAAAAAAAAATCTTGCCCCTGACCAACAAACTACGAATGGCTCGAACTTAAATCACAAAAATTTCTCACACCTAAACATCATTGTTAAAATAAAATCACGTACTTTGTTTTATTGTCTAAGTACCAATATTAAAAATTAAAATAGTTTCGGGACTAAAAGAAGAAGTAAGAATAAGTAAAAGTAATAGTGAAAAGTAGTGTACCTATTAGTTAAAAGTGCATCAGTAAGTATCGCATTCCCACGGGGAATTTTATTGAGGAAATTGCTGTTTTATTTATCAAGATCCTTCAGTGTTCATCCTAATAGTAGGGTAAAGAAGAAATGTACAGCACACATAGGCACGTACGACAGGCGTCTAGACCTGTACCAATAGGGGGCTCGTCGTCTTAGTCGCCCACCCTTTCTTTTAAGAAAGCCCTCTTTTTTATATTGGTATATTGTTAATGTCAAAGGTTTATCATTACTGCCAGTTATTCATCATCATTATCATCATCATTACAGCCCTTTACAAGTCCACTACTGAACATAATTTTAATTTAGACGAAATGCCCATGTTAACTAACATATCTATCAAGATGAATATTAATACTAAAAAGAGAAAACATCTTCGCAAATAAGCAATTATTTTCAATTAATATAGGCGATAGATATTCCTTAGTATTAGTACATTATTTTGATGTATCTCAAAGTTTAACCAGCGAAGTGCCCTAATATCAATTTTTTGATGATTTATTACTAAATATTGAACTTTTCCTACTACTGAAACTTAATTAGAATGTACTGTACATATCTACTAACTGTACTTCCAAATCACAGTAAAAAACGTATCAAAATCTGTCGTGTGGTTGCGTAATTTAAAAGAAGTAAGTAAGTAAGGGTTTGTTTTGAAAAATGGAAAACTACGTATTCATTTAATTTGTCAACAGAGTACTCAACAGTTAATCGCCCCGTAAAGTAAAGAGTGTCGTACAAACTGTAACACATTATTTCGCCCTCTGAAGGTTGGAATTTTCAAAATCCCATCTCAGTAAATGCATGCGTAATAAAAGGAATACATGCTGTCATAATTTCATGCTTCTACAATCTGCGGTTTGAGCTTTATGCTGGTATTCTGTGAAAGCGTGGATCTACCCCGAGCCGAACCCCGAGCGACCCGAGTCGAGCCGACCCATTCGTGCTACAACCATAATATAGCTGCAGCGTGGCTCTACTACATATTATACAAAGTACCTTTAATAAGTTTTAATTTAATCGCCCGTAAAATAAAAATGTTTATACAAACTATAACACCCTATTTCATCCCCTTAGAGATTGAATTTTCCTAAATCATTTCACTCTCAATTATTGTCCAATTTTCAGATTTCTACGTATAGCGGTTTGGGCTATGTGTTGAAAGATGAGTCATTTATTCGGGAATACTCTTTTATTTATATAAATTAAGAATTACGATTAAATATAATCTGCTGCCTTACAGATACTACATAATAGCTTTGCTTTATTATGCCCAGTAGGCTGTAAGTAGCTGAAGAATAAGTAGTTTTGCATCTTTAAAGTAGGTATTAAGTTTGGTTCAAATAGGGCCCTTATTTCGTTTTTGCCCCGGGGCTCTTGATTGCATAGCTACGCCACTGAATTTCGTATGAGTTTTCTGTTTCTAATTTATTCTAGTATTAATCTAGACAAAACTGTAAATTATTACCAACTCCTAAATGATACAAATCGATATCGATATATCTCAAGCATCAAATATTGTAGGTACCGATTTTTCAGTTAGAATGCCTAGTCCAACAATTGTGACAGATGTTAAAGGGTATTTCTTAGATTTGGTGGAGTATGTATAATATAAATAAAATAAATACTATTGAATTCCAATAACGTATTCGCAGAAATAGCTTACAATAATGTCAAATAAATTTAAACGAAAAAAAATTCAAAAAGTATAGAATTTACCTACTGATAATAACACATACAACTGACATACCTTAAAAAATTACAACTTAAAAAATTTAAAATTCGAACCACTGAATCGAACGCCGCCAAAATTTAAAATGTTGTTCTTTGACATATTTTATTTCATAGTTTGATGTGATTTTGTTGTGAGATAAAACATTCTTAATTTAAAACGTAATTCAGTTATTGCTCTGTATTTGGAAGGAAAATCGAAATTCGTCGAGCGCTGCCAAATCTTAAACTAAATGAGAAAGGAGGATGGCCAAATCGTACCAGACAACGAAATGATAGCGTCCCAATATGAAATATTTATGTAAAATACCCTTATTGTTTAAGGTCTTAAAATACACAAGAAATACCTCTCTAAGAAGCCACAAAAAAAGTTATCCATTTATTTCTATTTTTGTATATTTCAAATAATGGTTTCAGAACGCACCTAATGACGATTCATTTCGTGTGTGAAAGGACTTGGTATTCAAAGACTATAATTATTCACGTTTTTATGAATAGTTGTTTATTTTAATTAAATTCAATTAGTATGTAGACATCAAATCAACTACTATGCTGATTTATTATGTACTGGATTTTTGCCATAAAAATAATTATGTAAGTCATACTAAGGTAAAGGTTTTGTTCAATTACATATGTACAACGGAACGTCATTTGTCATCGCTTACTCTGTGATCATCGATTAGCGCCAGTATTGTTATGTTTTATTTCCTTCTGTTGTTTTGACCTCGGTATTGTTTTACGCACTGATTTATTCACATCTTGGATAATTGTGAGAAACATCATGCAAAGACAACTAGGTGTGCGATTGCTTTGTGTTAATTGTAACATATGCATTGATAAACTTCGCCACCATCTCGTTTTTGAGCTTGATACAAGAGTAATTTCTAAGATCTGCGAGTGGAATTCTTCAATAATAGTACGTATTTACATACCTACTTATTTTATTACACTAACATAATACATCATCATAATACAACTCTAATCAATCA